TCTCGGATTTCTTGAGCGAACGCTCGATTCGAGTGGTCTTAGAAGCTGCTGCTCTTCCGATAGATTCCTCAGGGTTCCGTACTGTCGGCAACTCTATTTCTGCTGGATATCAGTGATATGTTCCAGGTACCTTTGCGTATGCTGATGACAGCACAGTTGTAGATAGGTACTTGACCAATGCAAAGGTCAGTGGAGAGGAAATCCAGTCTTGTAGAGAGTCTGTGGTTAGACGTTTGGATTTGACACTTAAGGCAGTCTCCGATTGGGGCGATGCCAAATTGTTGACAATTTGTTGTAATTGTTAAATTTGAATTTAACGCTACCAAAACGCAGGCGTGTCTATTCTCCACAAAACGGAGTGCCTATCTGCTTATTGGAATCCACCATACAAAGGAGCATGAAAAGTACACTGTAAAGAGTTACAACGAATTTTACGAAAATTCATTCATTTGTTGAGTTTTAGTTGGAACCCCTTGATCGTCGAATATATAACCAGTAATAGAGACGAAATGTCATTTAATTTATAGATTTTAAGACTTTCGTGGTTATTCACTAAATGATTATCACTAGTAACAGGTTTCTTACCACGGTATAACTTCTTTTTATTTTCCCGATATTTCGGAACGGTTGCACGCTCCATGGTCACGGGTTGACTGGACGGCGGCAGATGACAGCTTTATGGGCAGACATATCTGTCTACCCTCTTGCGCTGTCGACGACTACCTTCATCGCGATTTGTTGTGGCGTTACCATTGTCACTCACTTTTTTCACACAAACCACACTTACTGTATCCACACGCGAAACTGAACTCGAGGTGTTTTTGTTTTTATTACTGCACGCACTAAGGACCGGATTCCATGCACTGGACATCATTTAATTTGTTTGAAAACTATTCTGCCATATCATTACCGTGACAACTGCGCTCCGATTGGCTAGCCCGAATTCGAAACAATTGACGGGTGTCGTTGCTATAATGGACGAAAATTGCAAAATTACATATTTAATTACCGATGAAATGTGATTCCGTTTGTTTTTTAATTACATGTTTTGCTGTTTTTCCCACACGACGGAATGGAACATTGTTAGAGATATTACAATTATTATCTTATTATTATCTTTATTACAATAAATACAGAATATTTTTGGAATATACGGAGACATACACACAAGTCAGTTGTTGGCCTGTAATATTTCAGTTTTTTAATTTGTGATTTTAGTGCAAACGAGAGTTGATATTCAAAAGTGATATAAGGCCCGTTTGCCTGATGAGTTGCCAGGGATGGATGGCCCTTATTTCGTTTCTACGAGTATTTCTCGTTATATACTTGATGCCATTGATTTATCCTACTCGTGCATAAGTTTTAAATTCGTGCCTTTAGTACCTTATGATAAAGCCACATGTTTGTGATCGCAAAAAGCCCAAAATGCTTTTACCACGTGAAAGTAATACGTACTTCGTGAAACAAATTACGTTATCTATGTGAAATTTCGTAACTCTCTAATAATAATAGCAAAGTTATCGATTCAATTCGTTAGTAGAATCTTTAAATCTTTGTCCTGAAAAATTGACATTTTGCATATGACGTCTTATTCACGGAAGAAAAAAAACCAATGAAAGTGTCTTCAAGCGAGTTACCAGAGGATAGATCAAATGGTTTAGATACTTATAGTAAATTAAATAACGGTCTTACAAAAAATATACAAAACGCCTAAGGACATTCTTAACGTACTAATTTGTTACACAGAATATACACTCCCGGTCACATAATTCGAGCCACCTTGCATTTTTATTCTTAAAGGGCTAGAATATAAAAATATACTTATCATCGCGGAAAAAGTTATCTCCGGTTTTTGAAATTAAAATTTTCAATAAAGATTTAAGGGAATGACGTTTAGTATACCAGTTTCAAAGTTGCGTAATAATTTTAGATCATTCAAGTATTGTTTAAGCTAAGCATTAATATTGAAAATGCAAGGTAAATCGAATTATATGTCCGAGAGTATACTTTACCCGATTATATGAAATTCAGAAAACAGACTAAAATAAAGCCTAAAACGAATTATTTAAGAATAAAATATTAGGGTTTTTCAACAACAACTTTGTTTTGTAAATCAAAATAAAACAATAAATTTACATGATTCAAATTTTTATTATATTAAAGAAAGTAAGGTTTGGCAATTATGAATAAAAAATGATATCTGATAAATGTCCACCATGACCACAGTTACGGATGTCGATTCTTTCATCAGTTTTTAATCACTTTTTGACAAAATGGTGGGTCTACTTCACGAATTTTGAGTTTTAAAGCTGCAATCATCGATTTGATTGGCTCCGTATAGACTCTGTCTTTAACATAACCCCATAAAAAATGATCTAGCCATGTTAAATCACATGATCGAGCTGGCCACTTAACGGCTGAATTTCGTGAAATTATGGGATCGGGAAATTTGGTTTGTAATAAATTAATTGTTTCGGTGGCTGTGTAAATTTAGCCCCTTTTGCTTTTAACAGTTCGATATTACACACGAACCACATTTTAGTTTTGAAGTGACAAATATCCATTAATAACTTTCATCACCTCCGAGAAATATAGTAAGTTTGAGACTGTCACTAATTAGTTACGATTACTGGATAATTACAAAACGTGTAGTCATGACAACGGTATTTCATATATGTTTTCAGACCACATATTGCGAAATATTTGATGCTATCCGCTTAAAATATAGGCTTCTTGAATGTAGGCTTAGATGGTGGCTTTTATAAGCAATTGAAAGAATTGAACGAATTTTATATATCAATTGAATGATAACCAGCTGACGGCATCCGTGGTCGAGTGGCTTGCACACTGGTTTTGGCGACGGCATCTCTGAGGTCCCGGGTTCGATCCCCGGCCGAGTCAATGTAGAAAAACTAACTTTTCGATATTGTCTCGGGTCTGGGTGTTTGTGGTACCGTCGTTGTTTCCGATTTCATAAGTTGTTTCCGATTTCATAAGTGCTTTAGTTAGTTACTTTGGGATCAGAACAACGTACGTGATGTTATCTCATATTTGTTTATTTATTAGCTGAACGGCTGGATTTTATTGTTACTGTTTTATTATAATATCAAGTGACGGGACGAATAAGTCGTGTGTCAGGTGGTAAGCTACACGCCTGTCCATAACAGTTGCAGTGCCACTCAGAGCTTTAAATTGCAAAGATTACTCTTCTTTACCCTTCAAAACCGGAACGCAGTAACGCTGACAATACTGCTTGGCGGCAGAAATAGGTATGGTTTAACGGTTAAGGTTCACCTACCTGGACGAACTCTTTCTGAAGAAGCTCTACTGCTACTAAAGGCAAGTTAGTTCTTGTTGTAAAGTTTTCCATTCATACTTAAGAATACACGTTGCATGATTTAGACTGCAGATTGCATGCAAATTGGTTAGTTTAGTAGAATTTGACATTTTATTTTCAAAGCCAATCAATGCCAAGAAGACAAATGGTGTTAAATTTGAATTACCTAACGTAAAATGGACTAGTCCAAGCATAGAAATAAACGGAGAAAAGTTAGACTTTGTTAATAAAGCAGTCTTCTTGGGAGTGACCTTAGATAGTAAACTTCAATGGTTTCCACATATATCTTCCCTGGCCAGCAGATTAAGCTCTGCTGCATACGCAGTCCGCAGAATACGTGAGCTTACCGATGTTAGTACTGCTAGACTAGTTTACTTTAGTTACTTCCATAGTATAATGTCCTACGGTATTCTCATGTGGGGTAAAGCGGCAGATATTCAAACCATGTTTGTATTGCAAAAACGAGCGATTCGTTCTGTGTACCGTCTAGGCTCTCGGGTTTCTCTCAGAGAAAAGTTTAAGGAGACTGGTAACATGACTGTGGCATCACAGTACATTTACTTAAATATTTTATATGCCCGTAAAAATATACATAATTTCAATAAGAAAGAAGATATCCATAATATTAACCTTAGAGCTAAATCCAAACTCATGGTACCACGATTTCGTTTAACGAAGGTAAACAACTCTTTTATGGGGAACTGTATACGTTTTTACAATAAGATTCCGGAGCATATATTAAGTTTATCATTTACTAAGTTTAAAAACTACATTAAAAATATTTTGATCGAAAAATCATATTACAAAATTGAAGACTACGTGTTAGATAAAGATGTATGGAAAGACGACATGGTTCCAGAATACACACAAATTTGATTCAAAGTGTATTCCATAGCAGTTAAGTTTATTTGAAAAGAGCAATCTCTAGAGTTTCTTGCTCGTTCTTCTCAGGGTGGTCAGCGTAGTGAAGTGAAGAAGAAGAGAAGTGAAGTTAAATGTGACGTTTTCAAGAGTAAATTTATTTTACCTATGGAATAAATAATCTTTGACTTTGACTTTGAAAGAAACACCTATCTTTTTTTAAGCCAACTTGTAAAAAAGGAGGGCTTCTCAATTCGACTGTATCTTTTTGAACAGATTTCGATGATTCTTCTGTTGGAAAGGGGGTATCTTAGTAGGATCACTATTAAGGTACTCCCTTTTTAACAAAATATTTTCAAATTTACAGAAAATATTCCATCTCAAAGGGTGACAAATTAGGGGATGAATTCGGTTTATTGAATTTCACCCTAGATGTAATTCCACAAACTTTTGAGGTAGGATTTTTTAATCAAAAAGTATAATTCAATGCTTATGTGCCAGGTACTACACCAAATACCTGGTCCTAAACTAGGAAATTCTCTGTACACCGTGCACCGAAATTCACTATGGGGCACTACCCAAAACACCCAGATCAGAACCAATTTAGAAAAGTTCATTTTTCAATTCGGTCCTACCGGGAATCGAACCCGAAACTTTCTCATCCAGAGTGTACAGAGACTTTGGGCCACCGAGTTCCTCGAATATACATTGTTAGAGCTCTTCCTAGTAGAATTTTGTTAATTTTACGTTTTAATTTTTACTTTAGTCTGAGTCAACGTTTAACTAAAATTAGTGTCTATACCTTAATAGCAGCAATGGCAGCCTGCTTGGAAACGAAGGTGACAAACGCGCAGCCCTTGCTTTGGCCCTGCGCGTCCCGCAATACGGTGCACTCCTCTATAGCGCCGTGTCCCGTGAACAGTGCGCGTACGTCGTTTTCTGATAGCTTCTTGTTCAGCATACCCACGAATAGCTTTCGTTCTGTTGACAATAAAAAAACCTGATTAGGCATTTGTTTGTTATAAAGAGAACGGAGACAAAACTAGATACACTTTATTTACTGCGAGATCTCAACATTTGGTCAATATTCAGATCCAATACCGTTGAAGTTATTAATATCAATCACATTTCGAAGATACGAAGATGAATTATTTAATTGTCGTATCTTCGAAATGTCATTGAGGTTATTAATAAATTCTAGAATAGAATCACATTTGAACACCAAAGAAAAATTCCTTCGATTCGGTTGGATTCGAAACAGCGCCTTCAAGCATTCCGATTGCCAGACGCTCTCCTAACTGAGCTACGGAACGAACCACCAAACCTTGCAATGTGCTTGTTCTTTTCTATGTTTTTGAATTTTTACGACTTTTTTGCCGTGGCGCCATCTGTTCGATTTTTGTATTAATAATTAGAACGTACTTTTTAATTCTTAAATGCAGAGGAAATTTGCCCTAGTCATAAAGTTAGGATGTAGTTACAACTTTATCTTGCTACTCATTACGGAGCAGTTACTACGCAACTAAGGAAGTTTACTTCCTTTGTTAACATCTCGAGTCAAGGCGCACAAAGCGTATCCAAGTTACCTATACATTGAATGAAATATTTAGTAGGTATTGCCGCGGTTTGCTTCGGAAATAACGCCAAGTGCATTGTACAGCTTCGAGACATCGGTGTCAGAAATCCTCAGATGTGATCCTTAAAAATGTAGTCCGCAATTCCGGGCTCAGAAGGGGTTAAGTACGAATTTACGACTTCCCACCCGCTACCAGCCATAAAGCAGTTTTGCCTGCATGCATACGAATTCTTCAAACCTCTCACAATTTAACACTCGATATTTAGGTCAAAGCATAACAGATATTTTCCGTTAAAACAAATATTGGGGGGTGAATATAGAAGATTTTAAGCCGCACACAATGCGATGTTAGAGTATTACGCGTAAAATTCAACATTTGCCGGTTCCAATCCCCAGTGGGCGCGAGCACGGCGAAATTGAAAAGGTACGAGGAACGCCCGTCTGTTACAAATATTTCATGCCCGCAAAATCAGCACGCTCGCGCGGAGATTAGCATGAAAATGGTGCGAGAAACCGAGCCGGGATCTGGTGAAAAACTCACTCGAGCTCGTACACAGCGCCGGATTCCCTAATTTCCACTCCGCTTTGTGCGAAGGATGAATGTTTAAATTTGAGATCAACAAACGTGGAAACACCTCATCCCACCGTAGGTATCTGCACTCGTTTCTCCTTTATATTGACCCATATATATTTGAATAATGTACTGTATCAATTCATATAGGCTTTGTTAGGCACTAGTTTTCACGTAACAGTGTGTATTACCGAACCAAATCATATCAACCATTTTGGGCAATTGGGGTTTGGACACCCCACTTTCTCTACGAAGAGTTCTATGAATCTTATTGAGTGAGTAAATGTATCTTTTATGTAATAACATATCACAAAAGTTACAGAAAATCGGAAAATTATTTTTGCAACTTTTCCTCAATGTGCTATTCTTGATGTTGCAGTGTATTTGTACTATGGTTTGGTAGGGTAGATCAGTCACTAAGGTTCAAACTAGGGACGTCCCTGTACCATGAGTATCAGAGTAACGATTTTTTTATAATATTAAGTTACGGGGCGAACAAGTCGTGCGCCTGATGGTAAGGTATACGCCTGTCCTCTACAGTTGCAATGCAACTCAGCTCTTTAAATCGCAAAGATCTGAGGCGCACTGCCACTGCGCCCGTCACTCTGTATGTCTCAGAGAGTTGACTAGTATCATATGCTTGTAAATTCACCAGCACCCTGCTGACATAACTGCTTGCCGGCAGAAATAGATAAGGTGGCAGTACTTCCCTCGACGTACTCTTTCACAAGGAGCTCTACTGCTACTAAATATTAACTCTCTAGGCACTGGCTAGTACACCGAGTCTAGAAACAATTTTTGAAAAGAACGCTTTCTGAATTGGTTCTATTCGAAATTTCATTTCTTTGGGATCTGCTAATATGTACAAATAATTTATTGGTATTTGTATTGTAATTTATTTGTATTTGTATTATAATTTATTGGTATTTGTATTATAATTTATTGGTATTAGCATTGGTATAGCATAGAAAGAGTGCTGGCTCAGTGGCCAGTGGTCTCTGAGGTCATTCTGGATTAAGTAATAATACATAACGATCTCTATCAATTCCATCAGAATCAAAATGTATTGGTTTAAGAATTAATAGTCAGTCATAATAATGCACCTTCGACACGTAATTTGCACGCTGCGGCGAAGTCACGAGATCACAAGGCTGTGCGAAGCATAGACAAGAAAAATGAATAGACAATCATGTGCCTCAACTCTTCTTGGCATAGGACTAAAGCAACTAATTAGAATAGTCAAAAAAAATTCCTCTTAAACATGACACGTAATCAGTTTTAAATGCAGGAGTAATTGTGTACTTAGCACAAATAACGCTTGAAAATGTTAATGCTTTAAGTGCGCCATCGGGTCTGTAACGATGCCGTTCGTTTAACAATTTACCTTCTGACTGGGGAGGGCAGGCAGCACTTAGACCGTAAAATCAGAAGGAATAATTTTGGGAATAATCAGGCAAACAAAGAGATTATCTTCATATACTCTGAGACTCCCTATTATGCCTGGTTTGCTATAGTAATAGGATCTAGATAATCAGGGGTATAGATACACCGGCGAATTCGACAAAGGTCAACAGTGATAGCTGAGCTAAATTCGACTTAATGCAGAACGGTACTAGTCCACGGTTAAAATACTTGAACATAAAAACCTGGTTGCGTACTTCCCTAATTTAGTCTCTTATGTAGTTAATTGAATTCTTCTTCCATGAGTTATACGAAAAACCGGAAACTTTCTGGCTGTCCACATAACAAAAATATATTTTCTCTCAAAAAAAATACTTTAAATCGGTCTTCTGTAATATTTTCCGAATGCACGTTAGACGTTTTACCTTTCCAGGGACGAAAAATGATGTTACTTAATAAACTATTTAGGTTCGTATTGTTCTAGTTTAAGGGTGGTGTGTCTTAGTTTTTCTCACACCTATTCATGTGTAAATTCTAAGTAGCGATCGCGTTTCCATCACTCTGTGGGAAAACGACCTCGAATACGCGAGCGTTAGAGCAATTACGTAGTAGACAACGTTTATGTTCCATTCTTTCAAGTAGCTTAGTCATAACTCATTGTTACCCGTACGTTCCATTAGTATTTTAGGAACAAAAGTATGTTTTTTACACTTTAGTCAGATCGTCGTCGTTGTCATTCGGTAAATTTTTAGTAAATTTTTATGTTGCAGTGGAGCTCCCTGTGAAATAGATCGTCCAGGAAGTACTGCCAAGTTAGCTAATTCTGCCGCCATACAGTAATGCATTGGTGCGTTCCGGTTTTGAAGTGTAAGGGTGCTGGTAATCACATGCACATGGCACTTGATCAACTTATGACTCAAGGTGTCGGGCGCAGCGGCAGTGCTCCTTAGATTTTTGTGATTTAAAGCTCTGAAATACGTTTCGCTTATCACCAGGTATCATAAAAAAAAACTCCTTTAAAGAGAGGTTAGAAGATAGTCCACCTCCGGATCACTTGTATCACCAGCCGGTACCATTTGCAAATTTACATTTATAATTTATATTTTGTCAAAACTGGGTCAGACTACTCCACTACTCCATCTACTATTCCAATTTTTTTTGTAATTTCAAAGGTTACGTTTTCGAAAAGGTAAATGATACTAAGTAACCACGTTGAAGCGACAGTCGTTCCGAGTCCAGTTAGCAAAAACATCATATTTAATAAAAAAACATTACAGTAAATGATACTAACGGTACATGTAGTCCTCCACACCGGCCCATTGGCATATTTTAACACATATAATGCCATACCATAAAGCTAGAGTTACATTTAAGTATGTGCTTAAACAATTTGTGTGGAACACGAATAGAATACGCGAATTGCACGCATTAGCACTTGTAAATTCTAGCTATATTAATGTGTCGGCGAGTATTTTGTTCTCAATTTCCTCGCTGAATATCGCTTTTAAGGTGTAAATGTAAATATAAATACTCGTGTAACTTCCTGTTTAGTGTAATTAGTTCAAGTTTATACAAATGTGTGTAGTTCAATTGCGTCAGGAATGATAGAGTAATCACACACATTTTTCATTGCCTTCAATTCAGTTGGAATAAAATAACGACTATAATTTCTGTTTCTGCATGAGTACATTACCCGCATACGTTATTTGCAGGCGCGTACTAATAATTTTACGCCGATGTTATCAGAAAAAACACCTACATAGTAACATTTAAAATTTTTGATATTTTTAAGTTGATCAAAGGACACTCACACGAGCGCGCTGTATACAAACGAAGTTGGATACTATTAATAGATGTTGACGAATTTTATGATATTCAATAGACGTGATCTAAAACGAATATCTAGGGGTCCTGGTTTTTCATTGTCTACTTAAATTATATATACCTATTCATGGACATATTTAGAGTACCGCTAAAAAAAGGTTGAATTATGATAACAACAATAACTGGGGGTCTACTCTCGATCTCCGTCCGAAACAATTACTGCCAAATGAAAAGACGCGTGATGCGAATGAAGCTTCATACTGGATACTTGTCTTTTAATTTTGTCGAATATTACTTATTTGACAGTAATTGTTTCGGACGGATGTCGGACGGATATCAAGAGTAGACTTACTGGTCACAAATAATAATCGCTGGTCACTCGCGATACAGGGTGCGGGGCTATGAAAAAAAATGAATTTTTTTTTCAATTTAAACGTTTTGGTATGTGTGGCCACAGGTTCAGAGATCTTAGGTTTTCGCAACTGTTACGCATAGGAAATTAAACTATTGATTGTTTTTTAATTTTTCTTTGTTTGAAATAAAAAATATACGCAATTTAGATCCCAAAAGTAGTTTCATTTAGTGTAATTTCAAAACATTTGCATGGGC